CGCTATGAGTTGGGTCTGACTGGACAGCACATAACAACAACAACAACATGAGTTAGAATTGACTGGACGGTGGTGGGTTTGGAGTGAGTTGGATCTGTTCATGACCTCAATTGTGGTGATGGTTTCCCGGGGCAGAGGGAGGGGCAGGTAAATGCATGGAATCTCATCAAATTGCACACTTTAAACAATTAAATGATGTTTATTGTGCATCACAAAGAGCTCTGATAGCACAGTCACTAAGGCATCTAACTGCTAACCAGAAGGTTGGTGGTTCAAACTCACCAGCCACTCTGTGGAAGCAAGACTGGGCAATCTACTTCTGATTGACTTGATGGCAGTGTTTTGTTTTGTTTTTTTCCCCTCTGGTATTGTGCATCACGGGGTCCCTGAGTGGTGCAAATGGTTAAGTGCTTGGCTACTAGTTGGATGCCATTCAGAGGCACCTTGGAAGAAAGGCCTGGCAATCTACTTCTGAAAAATCAGCCATTGAAAACCATATGGAGCAGTTCTACTATGACACACCTGGGGTCACCATAAGTCAGAATCCACCGGATGGTCACCGATTTGGTTTGATTATTGTGTATCAATTATAAGTTAGGGTGGGTCACCTAAACCACACCCTTCCCTCCACCCACGTGGAGGGAAAAGAGCAGTGGAGGGTTCTGGGGGAATAACATGTAGGGGCAAATCTTGTTGGGCAGTTTTGATGTGCAGATAGGAGCCCCTGGTGGCTTCCCTGTTATCCTGCCCTCCCGAGGCAGAGCTGCGGGCCCAGCCGGCCGGCCGCCTCACCATCCTCCTGTACCCCTGTCCCCTCAGGTCAAGTGGATGCTCTGCTGAGGAACTTCCTGCCGTGCTACCGCAAGCAGCTGGCGGCCTCGGTCCTGCGGCAGATCTCCCACGAGCTAGGCCCCCATGAGCCCGCTGGGTGCCAGCTGTTACGCAGTAAGGTGAGTGGGCGTGGCTGGATCCGGACGTGCTGGGTGAGAGGGGCTGGACCTGGGAGTGGCTGGATGGGCGTGGTCGAATCGGGGCGTGGCTGGTGCGGGTGGGCGAGGCTGGCGGGAGTGGGAGTGGAGGAAACCTCAGACGCCAGGCTCCCGGCTAGTCAAGTTCCAACCTCCAGGCCTTTGCCTTTGCTGGTGGCACCACTAGGGGCGACTTTAAAATATTCATTCTTTCTGTTTCTGCCTATTCACCGTTTTCCACGTGTTCAGCTTTGTGAAACCAATTACGCGAATCATGTGCAACCAATCAACAACAATCGTTGCCAAATCTCGGGTCACTGTAGACAAACTCAATGCTTCCCTCCTGGCCCCGGTCACCCAGAATAAGTTTTGGTCTCTATAGCCAAAAAAAAAAAAAAAA